ATGAACACAGCAGGCCAAGCAGCATCATAGGAGCAGATGCTGCTTGGCCTGCTGTGTTCATCCAGCCCTGCACCTTGTTGTCTCGGATTCTCCAGCATCTGCAGTTCCTACTATCTTTATTTCTAGCTGATTAGGATTGATAAGTAGGGAATTTGTGTTAAACCTGGATCAAACCTTGGTTAGATCACAATTAAGTGTATTATTTCTGGTTATCGTAAAAGGGATATAGGAACATTGGAGAGTGCGCAGAGAGGATTTACAAGGATACTACCAGAAATGGTAGTTACAATTATTTGGAAAGAACAGATAGATTGGGTCACTTTGACCAAAAGGCCAAGAGGTGACCTGATAGAGACCCTTAAAATCATGAAAGGTTTTAATAAAATCCATGCAGAGTTAATGCCTCCTCTTGTTAGAAAAAGTAAAACTAGATAACATCAATATAAAATAGTCTCTAATGAATCCAATGGGGAATTCAGAAGAAACTTCCATATCCAAAGAATGGTGAGAACGTGGAACTGACCACTACATGGATTGGTTGAAGTGAGCCATATAGATACATTTAAAAAGAAGTTGGATAAACATATGAGGGAATGATTCATATAGGAAGGGTATTCCAGAGCCTGGGACTTAGATATCTGAATTCAAAACCATCAATAGTGGAACAATTAGAATGAGGGATGCACAGGAAACTGGAAATAGAGGAGTGCAGATATCTTAGAGGGTTGTGGATCAGTTGAAGAATACAGAAATAGGAAAATGCAAGGCCACAGAGACATTTAAAAGAAAGACGATTGGGTTAAATGAGTATAGAGGTAAAGGTGGCATGAATTAAAATTGCAGAAGCTGATACGGGATTGCTGAAATTCTTGAACAGGATGTGCGTTGGCTACACCAGCATTTATTGTCCATTTTTAATTGGCCTTGAGAAGGTGGTGGTGAGCTGCCTTCTTGAACCACTGCAGTCCATGATGGAGGGCAGGGGTTGAGGTTAGATACACCAACACTGCTGTTAGGAAGGAAGATCCAGAATTCTGAATCAGTGGTAGTGAATAAATGGCGATTATAGTTCCAAGTCAGGATGGCGTTCTGCCCTGAACAGGAGTTTACAAGTCCCTTGCCCTTCCAAGGAGTTTGAAGTCATGGATTTCAAAGGTACTATTGGCAGAGGCTTGGTGAGTTGCTGTGGTGCAATTTCTAGCTGTCAGTAAATACCGCTGCCAGTGTTTGTCCGTGTTAGAGGGATTTAATATTTAAAGCAATCGATGGGTTGGCAATCAAGTGAGCTGCTTTGTCCTGGATGGTGTCAATTTTGAATATTGCTGAAGCTGCACACTCCAGCCATCACACTGTTGCCTTGAGCCTTGTAGGTGGTGAACAAGCTTTGCGGAATCAGAAGATTATTTACTTGTCACAAAATTGCCAGCATCTGACCTGCTTTTGTAGCCATTGTTCTTATATGGCTGTTTCGGTTCAGTTTCAGGTCAGTGATAACATGCAGGTTGTTGTTAATGGGGATTCAGCAATGATGATGCCACTGAATATCAGTGGAAGCTGGTTGGAGGAAGCCACTGCCTGGTATATATGAGATGTAAATGTAATTTGCCACTTATCTGTGCAACCTTGAATGTGGTCCAGGTTTTGCTCTTATATGGATATGGACTACTTTGGTATCTGATGAGCCATGAATGGTACTGAGGTTTGTGCAATCATCAATGAACATCCCCACTCCTGGCCTTATGATGAAGCAGCTGGAAATGGTTGGGTCTGATACACAGAGGATTTTGATAAAATGTTAGGGAGGATGAAATAGACAATCTTGGTGGTAATGGTATGAATATGAGTTCAAAGGCCATCTTGAATTAAATGGGATACCAAGATTGCAAACAGACTAGTTTAGTGTCAGAGATAGTAGGAATTGCCGATGCTGGAGTCAGAGATAACACAGTGTGAAGCTGGAGGAACACAGCAGGCCAGGCAGCATCAGAGGAGCAGGAAAGCTGATGTTTTGGTTTGGGAGCCTTCTTTTTTTTTTCTGAAGAAGGGACCTGAAACGTCAGCTTTCCTACTCCTCTGATGCTGTCTGGCCTGCTGTGTTCCTCCAGCTCCACACTGTGTTATCTCTAGTTTAGTGTCAGACTATTGCCAGGGAGAGGGATGGAGCCAATAGCTAGAGAAGAGAACTTTGGAAAAAATTGACACCAGTC